CCCCCCCTTCCTTTACCCCTCGACTGCCGATAAATAGTACTGCAAGTTAGTTTTGTGGATGGTATTCGTTGTCAAGTGAATAGTTGTTGTGAAAAGTATATAGTAGCAGATATGAGTAAGGAATGAAGAAGCCGACCGATCTCCTCCAGCTAGTCGAATAGCCTTCGAAGAGGCGACGCACATACACCGAACAAGCGGCGGATAGCAGCTTAGGATCAAGGGGATATTGGCAGTGGATACCAGCTTAGGTGATCAAAGGGATATCAGCGGTGGATACCAGCTTAGATGATCAAAGGGATATCAGCGGTGGATACCATCTTGGGATCGAAGAGATATCAGCGGTGGATACCAGCCTAGGTGATCAAAGGGATATCAGCAGTGGATACCAGCTTAGGTGATCAAAGGGATATCAGCGGTGGATACCAGCTATTAGATATGTGTGTGCAGTTCAGGATCAAAGGGCCTGGTACATCACTTTAAGAAGCATACAGTTTTTCTTTCCTACCTTTCTTTAAGCAGCACAAAGAGACTTGTAGCGGGTTTTTCCTTTGGTGGCCTTTTACGGATTTTTCGAGATTTCGCCGAAGTTTACAGCTGCCTTTGAGTGCATGAGTATTCTAGTAAAGTTAGTAACATGGGATATCACACACTGAAAGTCCGGGCGGTCTTGGTATTCCTGGCAGCGGTGTGCCCCGGGTATTGTTTGCATTTTTTATGTTCGTCGGCTACCTCGGGGTTTTCGGCTCATTGCTTGGATTTGGTGTAATGAGAAGTGTGGCATCTTCCTTAATTTCGCGACGCGCTTCCAATTCCTTCGAGTTTTGAGCTGATGTAGATGATTAAAAAAATAGCTGGTTCCTATAGAGCACATGCAAAGATAGCAAAGATAGAGATTCATAAGCTCCAACTGCTAAATGTTGTGTATGGGGGCTGGTATTATAGTGATTTGCGCACTTGGAACTGAAGAATGCGGGAATATGAAGCAGAGGAATTCGTTTTTCTCACGACTTATGGGTTATATTTTTTGTAAAAGATGCGCAGCTCCGATCTTATTTTTTATGTTAAGGGATGAAACACAGACTGCTTCTCAGCATTTTTTCGCTGCGAGTGATATTTTTTTGGCAGATCTGTTGTTTAAGATATTGCAAATATCGTTTAAGCCGACTGTAGCAATCAGGTTGACCTTGCAAGCCTAGATGGCGACGGCGCGATAGATTACAGCATGAAAGGACAGTATGAAAGTGGAAGATAAGAATGAGATAAGACGTTTCGGTCTATTAAGTCATATAATTTGTGCCTCTAGAGGATAAATATGGCGGTAGCGACTGAAAAATTGCATATTTAAAAGCATGATCGGAGGAAAAAAAGTGATATTGCGTAACCCGCGTACGGGCCCGCCAAAGCTTTTTGGGATCGGTTCATAACTCGAGGATTTGAGAAGCTAGAAGGCTGAAATCTTGGGGTAATGTTCCCCGCCCAAGCGGGTATTAGTGGGCTCAACGGGGTCAGCTCATAACTCGAGGATCCGAGAAGCTAGAAGGCTGAAATCTTGCGGTAATGTTCCCCGCCCAAGCGGCTATTAGTGGGCTCAAATATCAGTTCATAACTCGAGGATCTAAAAAGCTAGAAGGCTGAAATCTTGGGGTAATGTTCCCCGCCCAAGCGGGTATTAGTGGGCTCAAACCCGGCCTCCGGGTAAGCGTGGTACCCGCGTACGGACCCCCCAAAATTTTTCTCGCGCAAATTCATAACTCGGGACCCAAGAGGCTGAAATCTTGGGGTAATGTTCCCCGCCCAAGTGGGTATTAGTGGGCTCAAACCCAGCCCCCGGAAAATTTACGTAACTCATGATACTAATTAACTCATTTAGAAGTAAGCTAGTGGCAAGTTTGATTCCCTTAGGCTTAGGCCAGTACCAATTTACCATCGAAAACGAGTGAATAAATCCTATAGCGACTAGCTGCTTAATTGGCGAACTCGGACCCACGGTGTGTAGTGGAAAAATAGCGTCGTGCCCGCCACCTTTTATCACATGCTTTTTCGTAACATATATGAATTTTCAGCATAAAACTGGAGCATACAATGGATCGCGGAACATCAGCAGTGCCGCCGCCAAGTACATATCAACTTCAAATAGACCCAAATATCACGTATAACACCGTCAATCGTCCGTTTGAAGATTTACCGGAAAATTTCCTCGATACCATCAGCCCTCAGAACCAAGGATCCACACCACAAGAAAGCCCCCAGCTTGCGCCATTGGCGCCGATGAGTCTTGGGTCAAATGAAAGGTAAGGGACTTCTGTGTTTTCTTGGCTCATTCAACTACAAGTCCAAAGGACTCGGCACAGCTACACTCGGCGTTTAGGAGCATCCCAGCATCCCAGTAACGAATCAGAAGTGGACGGTCCAGGTGGGACGGCCGAAATTGGTTAAAATGATAATTTTTTGTGGCCCTTTATAGGACGAACCATAATTTCTGAAGTAATGACCAGTCCAAACCGTAGAAAATACGGAACAGCCAAAATCTTTAAATATTAATGTAGAGTGAAGTTAGTTAAGGGATAATGATGGGAAAAGTTACTAAGACTACTAATGTGGGGCAAACCCTATTACATGTTGAAGAGTTATGCAAAGAGGAATATGTAGAAATTGGCCTGCCTGTATATCATCCCTTAGATGTAAACACAGACAGTATAAGGTGCGATTAGGAGTAGGAATCATCAGTACAGCCCGCTAACCATCATGTGAAAATGTCAAGTACCAAGGTGTTTGGAATGAATGGTCGTAAGACCACGAAATAAGGAAATGAAATAGATAGCGAAATGCATATGTTTTTTATAAAAAGTTGAGAAGATGTGAGGAGGACCTGTAGGAAAGCTAAATGTGAACTTGGCTGTCTATGTTTCATCCCTAAGCTGCAGACACAGGCAGTATGCAGTGTGGACCGGGGTGGAAATCGTCAGTGCAGCCCCCAATCCACCATTTGGAAATTTTGATAACATGAATGCGTAGTAAGAGGAGAGCATTAGAAGGAAGATAGCGACAGTGGAGATTGTAAGAAAGGAGAAAAAATTAATGTGCAACACGTAGTTCTCATTCTTGCTTCGTTTAAGAACGGGCTATCCCTACATTGAGATACTGGAACGGCTTGAAAAGCATTAGCAAAAGTAGCACAATAACCGTAGTGAAAATCACTATAGTAGCGAATTTTCGCAGTCATAAAGTAACATTGCGCAAACTTTTCTAATGCTATAATCGCCACAGTACAAATATTTTGGTGATATACTTAACTTGTATGAGTATTCTCACGCCATTAGATGGTACCCTTCTCTCAGGGACTGGGATCTGGTTCAGTGAGATGAAAAGGAAACATATTTTCTTGAAAATTACCACCGAAGTGCCAAGACGATCGGTTTGGTACTCCTGTAAGTTGCACCTAGACATTTGGTTTGGGCTGTTCTGCAGAAATCTTTACAGCATAAGCGCGTAATCTCTTTTCCCTCTTTTGTCGGAAGATGAAACAGTGAATTACTTGTGCTTCAATTACTTGAAACAGTTTTGTGCACAGAAATATATACCAGTTTTTTAAATATTTCCTTCCTACGGAGGCCCATCGTCAGCGTCTGATACACGCTCTTCTACAATAACTGTACCACCCAACATGCACGTATAAGTCGCGTTGTTAGCGTTCCGTTCATATTGCTACTTCCTTCTCTTGACACTTTTCCACTTCTACATTACAACCTTCTAATCTTTTTCAAATACCTTAAATTTATGCTTTTTAAAAAATTCTTCCCGTCTCTATCTTTTTCTTTCTTCCTACCTTCCATTCCCTTTTCCTCTTCTCATCTCTGAACACTGCAACCGTCATACTGACGAGGTCGAGTCGCCGTGTTGAGCTAAGACGTACATGACTTGATGGACCGGAACGTCTTAACTCTCTCGTACTTATTTTTCCTGTACCAGCAATATTTCTACATCTTGCATTACAGAGTTCGTTCTGTTCTTGCCTTTTTTAAGTTCTTCATATTACTTTCATGCTACAATCATGCGAAAATCAGCTTAGTAAAAAGTTATAATAAGAAGGAATGAAATAGACAGAAGGGCCAAAAAAGATGGTAAGAAGTGAGAATTAGGAAATAAGAAAATTTATAAAATTATTATATTGGTAAGTTATGGTCTGGTTCTGCATTTATGCGAAATGCGCTATGCCAGGCGTCAAAAAAAAACCCCCCATGCGTTGTTTCAGTGCTTATGCGACGTTGGCTCCGATGTCGGCAACACCCACTTATGTGGGTACAATGAAAAT